GCTTTGTTTAGAGCTATCCTTGTCACCTAACGAGGCAAATAAATGTTCAGCTAATTCCTGTAAGTTATCCTACCTTTAATGTGCCATTATTTCCACAGTGAACATACTGCTTCCTAACGCGAGGCAGAGAAAACAGTGGGAAGAAGAGCACCTAGAGCACTCTGCTGCTTTTCTTTAATCCCTTTAAACGCCCAGATGGGGGAATCGGGATTGTTGTAGCTAAGCTGTCTCTCTCCATTCCTTCTTCTCCCTTGACTCCTCATCCCCCTTCTGAGAACCTGCCCCCCCATTCTTTTTTTTTTTAATCAGTACATGTACATATATCACTTAATACCTCAAATAGTCTCACCCCTCCCCATCTTAGCTTCTCACCCTCTAGAGAAATAAATAGTTTCAACTCTTGTGGCTCTTCTTGTATTTCTCTCCAGTTTTTCAATCCCATATGTTTATATTATTTCCTGATTTGCAGATTTAGATATTATTTAAGGAGTTCTTATTATGGAAGATGAAGATATGGCTATTATATACACCTTCAAGTATCTTTCTATAAAGCAAATATTTCCCTAATCCCCCAGCTTTAGAGCCAGAATCTAGCCACTCAGCACAATGACAGCTGAAGCACCAACACTTGACCAGAGTCTAGGTTAGCCAGCTCTAGAAGTATGTATACACTGCAGCTGCATTCTCCCAAGATCACATTAAAATTATCCTTGTTTGTCTATGAAGATGCTAATAACAGTTTAAAATGATTTTATAATTCTGTAGCCATAAATAAACCACTGGGTTTGAATGGATCAAACCCTATAAAACAGGAATTTGGAAAATTATTTATTAAATGACTATAAAACCCAGATTCTCTTGAGTTCTATAATAGTTCATTTTCTCTACTCACTCTCTCCCCCCAAGAACCCTCTTCCTTGCAGGTTCTAAACCTTTTGGCCTCAGAGTCCTTACCTATAGGAACCTAGGAGGAAGTCAGTTCTAAGTTGGGGAGCAAACAAGCTCACCTTATCCACAGAGCTAAACTGTTCATATCTCATGTTTACATGCGCCTCCTCCACAAAGACAGAAGCACAACAGAGAGAACAGACTTGAGGTTCTTTCCATTCAGTCCCTCTCAAGTCTTCTCTCCTTGGAAGTGAAAGAAATGAAAAGCTGTCCATCGGAGCCACTGAGAGTACGCTCTTAGCAATTTACAGAGTGCTAATTTTTTGGTGTTGTTTTATATTCTTTTTATTACTCATAAATTTATACCAAATGGTTCAGGCACTGGAATTTCCTCATACATCCATATTTAATGCTGGCACACCCTTGCCACCTGGGTATTTGTGTTCATCTGGATCAATCATCGTAAGTGAGGTCTCCCATGGAGCAGGGAGGCCGTGAAAGGATTGTGCTGCAAGGGAGAAAGTTGATGGGAGGGCTAGAAGCATGAGCTGTCAAAAGCTTACAATGGGTAAAAATGCTAGGAGCTCCTAGTTATAGATTGAGCACAAAACTCAGCTAGAAAAACATGACACAAAGCTACTGAGAATTCCTCAAAATCCCCCGCTTTGAAATGGTCCCGCAATAAAGCAAATTAATAAAATGTGACAACCTATGATTTTACACGCAATACAGTAATCTTCACTTAATGCCGTTGACGGGTTCTGCAACTTTAAGCAAAACGACAGATAATAAAACCAATTTTAACACAGGCTAATCGATACCCACAAGAGTTAAGTTCCTATAGCATCTCATCAATGTTATAATGAAATGACACTATTTGAGGACCTGCTGTTATCTGGGGTTCAGATCACCCATTTATCGAACACTTATAGAACAAAGCTGTATAGGGTTGCAGAGACTATAATGATGAATAACTTGCTTCTAAATGGATAAAGATTCATTCATTCAGCAAATGAAATATGAAAGCCAAAAAGGGGCAGGCTTTCAAGCGGTGAGAGGAAGAAATAACAACAGAGTGCTATAAGATTTTAAACAAGAGAAAACAATCAATTGATCAAGGGAGAAATATAAGAACACATGAATGGAAATGCAAGCAGCTCAGACTAAGAAAGTCAGCAGAAGAGTTGCTAATCAGGACTCTCTGGTGGTGGTTCTGGCAGGAAAGATGCAGACCCACACCAGGCTGGTGGTAGTGAAATGGAAAGAAGCATAGGGACATGACAGAAGCAACAGTGTTGGCAACGGGCAACAGATGCATGGGCAGGGCAGGTGTGTATGTATGTGCACACTAAGCAGGACATTCATTCTACTCTGAGGAACTGCAACATGGTTTTACCATCCTGAGAAGTCAGGTGGACAAGCTGGTTTGGGGGATAACCATAAGGGCTGAGAAGTGTTAGAAATAGTCCATGCTCAGTGAGTGCCTAGCCAGATAACCACTCCACAGGGAGTTGGAAGTACACATTCCTCCACTTCATTCCTCAACGTAGAATGTACATCAATATATTGTCCACAATATCCTGTGTGCCCTTAGCCCCAGCGGCAGAAACAGAAGATATGCTCCTGATTCTCCAAGTTACACCCCTACAGGGGTTCCCATACATGTGCTGTTCTCTTAGGAAATTCTTATCATTCTGGCTCATCATAAGATGGAAGAAGGTCTTATCACCACTTCTACTCTTTCTATAATAAATGAGTTCCAAGCTCTACACATCTGTCTTACCAATAAATGTTTTAGACTGCAACAAACTGTGGGAAACAGTAAGACTATACAGGAGTTAATGCAGCTGCTCACTTCCTTGGCTCCAGCTTTCAGACGTCTCATTTACTGTCTTAGGACAGAAAGTCTAGTGACAGAGAGCTCATGAACAAATGGGAAACCTGGTACATAAGGTCCTGATGACCTGTCCATCCTGACATGGGATGTGTTCCTAACAGTTAATGGCCTAATGACTGGGCCTGTTTTGGGGAAGGGAGATACTATTACTTATAGGTCCTTGTTGTAAACAAATGGAATGAAGGCAATTGATCATATATACATCAGGGCCTACACGGAATGCAAGTAAGTGGAGCTCCTTCTCCACTGAGTTCCAAGTGTCTGGAAGCAGCAGGGCTGTTTCTACACTTCCTTCCAGGCATTTGGCGTTACCCTAGAGCGGCATGTTGATCCCCTGTGGATTAAAGGGCAAAACCAGGAGGGATGCTGGCTTCCATCATCCCTTTGCCTCTTGCCCTCTCCACATTATATAAATCACTTCTGGCAGGTAGCTGGGAAGCAGCTGCGAATGACAGTTTTGCGCTGGAGCACAGGAAGCCACCTTTTAACCCGCCTGCTGTTGTTTGTCTCTCGAAACGTGACAAAGGAACAGATGTAAGCAACATGCCAACTGTTGAGAGGATCTGCTCGGAGCACTATAGGAAGCCTGTTCAGAGTCACATCGCACCAGCCGCTCCATGGAAGGACAACTGAGTTCATTTCCTGAAACCCCTACGCACGCTCTATTCACATCAGGTTGGGATCCGCAATGCTCATGCAACTCACCATGCACATCCCTGCTTCTGCCTTCGCCCCTGTGCTTCCCAGCCTCGAAGCCACTTCCTGAACCTCGTTCAAATGCCACCAAAGTCAAGTTCAGCTTCACCTCCTAGTGGTCTTCTCCGACCCCCACACCCTTCCCCGTAAAGCACTCTGATTCGGTCTCTAAGCCTTTCATGGTCAATCTCATCTCTGTCCAAACCATCCTATGTTATCTCTATGAGGGCTGAAGCCATGGTTTACACACCTCTATATTCCCAAAAGAGTATTTTTCAAGTCACTAACTGTATGATGAGTCCACTGGGAAGCAGGTTTAAAGGGTTTCAACCAATATTTTAAAATATGAAATAAAAACTAGCTTATAAAAAGATACTCTTAGGACAACTGAGGAACAACTGGAAAACTATTAGATGATATGAGATTCCTATTTTTTTAGGTATAGTTATAATGTGCTTATGTAAGAGAATGCCTTATTTTTAGGAGATGCATGCTGGACTATTTAGTGGTGACTTACTTTCAACTAGATCAGCAAAAAAATATGTGTGTGTACATGTGTGTAAGTACACACACACATAGAAAAAGCAAATGGGGCAAAATGTTACAACTGCTGAATGTAGGTGCAGAGTATGCAGGTGTTCACTGCATTATTCTTTAAAATTTCCTGCATGCTTGAGAAGGTTCATAATAAAAAGTGGAAGAGAATGAAGAAAAAAAATCAATATGCAGATCATGAAGTATGATCTGATTTCAGGTGTGTCTGGATGTATGTGTGTGTGTGTCCTAGCTTACAAGGTAAATAAATGCATTTCATACTATAGGTCAAAGCCAAGAGTTTGAAAATGCTGCCCTATACCTTCACTCTGCACCAAATACACAGCAGGCATGCAATTAACTACTTGTTAATTAACTTCTAGAAGCCCAGGACTTAAATTAAGAAGCAAGCTGAGAAATCATTTTCTCTTCAGTTACATCCCATTAACTCAAGCTGTGTCAAAATATCCAGGCCCTTTCCTGTCTTAGCACACTTGGGCCTAACCTCAACTCAGCCTGTAGGCCTTCTTTATCAGATGTTTAATTACTCAGTAGCAAGGCTAATTCTGGCTTGCTCCCTCGATGCCAGGGAGGGGGCTGTATTAATATTCTGGGTAGGGTGACCAGTTGTCCCTGTTTGCCTGGTGTTTTGCAGGACGAGAGACTTAGAGTACTAAAACTAGGACGGTTTTAGTACTAAGCCAACCAGATAGTTGATCACCCTAAATCTGAGGGAAGACTCTGAGAGAAGCTGGGACAGGTCTAGGAGAGCGGACACTACCATACCACGTGGGGGATGGTACCACTGCAACATGAACAACAAAGGCAAACCCAGCACTGGCAAAATTGTGACAAGACAGAGATCTCACCAATGGCCTCTCAATAGCAACTGCACATGCCAAATTGTGAAGTGTCTTTCAGATGCTTAAATAGAACCTCTCCCTGATTATTCACCAAGCTGCAAAGCAAAGGATTGGGAACTTACCGTAAAAACGTCATCATCGCCAAGCTCAGCTTCATTATGGATGGTGGAAGATGATGTGGTCGAGCCTAAAAAGATAAAAAATGTAATAAAAAGTGTTTCCAAAGAGGACAAGTCGAATGCAATCATTTAAAAAGTACATTTCAATAAAACGACATTCCATTCCTTTTGCATGTGGATCACTAGCAGAAACATGTTACTTGGGAATTAATGCTTTTAATTTATTCTACTTTGACACTTGCCAGGATGCTCCCCAAATTAACTTTGCCTACTGTTGTTTGCAAGTAACCCCTCCAACTTCTGCACTGCCCACAAGAGAACAAGCACAGAGGTACCACGTAGAAGGGGAGAGGAGAGCCTGCCCTGCTCTGAAGTGCATGCATCGAGACCACCCTCCACCAGCAACGCCCCAGGTGGGGGCCACAGTGCATAGTGGGAAAAGCACCGGTTGGAGACCCACCAGCTTGGACTCGCCACAGTCTCACTGTGTAAACTGGACTCAGCTTTCTGGTCTTATTATCTACCAAAGAGGGTATGTGACTAAATAGCTGAATAGTTGCCTCCTATTCTGACATTCAGACACTACTCTAAAACCCAGATTGTGGGAGCCACCTTCTAAGATGATACTTGCGCATCAGTGAATTTCTGTTTCTGCAGGCCAAAATTTAGACTCATGTCAGTAAACTCAGTTTACTCCTTCACGGAATGAATTTTGGGATCAATTTATTTACTTGTTCACCTCTTGCTTCATTCTGGTATGCAAACCAGTAGAAAGTCTCCCTCTTCTCTAATAGTACCCAATAAGGTACCAACTCAACTGGCACCGTTAATGGCTCAAAGGAAATACATAGTCAAATGTGCATAAGAGAAACCTATACCAAAAGGGAAATTTGTTCTCCATCTTCTCTTTTTCTTGGTCAAGTCTTTAAAAATGTGCATTTAGAAGATATTTCGCTATTATATAAAATCGAAATTAAAAGAATTGCTCAGAAAGGGAAGAGAAATATCCAATGAGTAATTGCAGAAGGAAAAATAAGTCTCATAATACCCTTTGTGCAATTCCTATCGATCTTTCGGGATTTTTCTCTACCATTTGAACTATTCTAGTCAATCAAAGTTTAAGGCAGGTTTGATAAAAAAAACAGCTAGGTAGAGTATATATAGAAGAAAAATCACAAGAATCAAATTTTGTGTGTAGCTTCAGCGATTAAGTACATGGGCATACTACAAAGTTCTATCAGTAATATAGGAGCTGTTTTCGCTCTAAACATTTAAAAGCTATGTTTAATAACAATATTTTAAACATCTGCCACTATGTCAGATCTATGTGTGAATGCTGGTTTTTATTATCTTTTTGGCTAATATATGGTTGTAGTTAACAGATTCATGTTCATGCTAGAATTGTCTTACTACTGATGTTAAGCAATTTTTCATTGAAGATTTGCTTTTCTCTCTTCCTCAAATTCACAATGAGGAAAATGACTTCTGATTACTGTTATTTCTTAAACAAATGAAACATACTTTCTTTCTTCACAGAGTTGTGGCGCTGTTAACCTTCTGATTTGATAACTGAGTGTGTTAAGGTGGAGAATTTGTGTGTTTGCATCTGTGGACTCTAGAAAAGCCCATGAAAACTGATCGCCTAAGAACCTACTGGCTAGGATCAAATGCAACACGTCTACTACCCAACCCAGCCCAGCACATACTAAGGCCTAAACCAAACCAAGGCTCCAGGAATCATAGATCCCTTTCCTTTTCAGTGGCAGCTGTATACCTGGGCTCTGATTACAGGAGGGCAATGGGTAGGCCTGGAGCCTTCTGAGCCATTAGAATCCATTCCCTGCTTCTGAGCCAAAATATCGATCAGATCAAAGCCATTTCAATAGTCAGGGAAAGGTGAAATCCATCAAACTGTCCTTCACCTGGAAGTCTAGAATTTGTCTTCTTAGCGCAAAGTCTAAAAACCAGTTGGGACCACTCCTTGCTCTAAAATCCATATCCCTTTTCCCCTATACTGTCACTTTATAATTGCTCTCCTTGGATGTTCCTAAAGTATTGGCATCTACTGACCTGGCCCCCAAGGCTCCTGCAAATAAACAACAAATACATGATGGCAGACGACTGGAATAAAAAGAACTCAGAACAGTCCTATTGATTGTTCCATTAAAAATGCAGTGACAAATTCAATACCTTCTATAAGGTCTTCGATTGCTTTCCTCACTCCCCTGTCAAAGGCTCGAGCATCAGCAGGACTTTGGAAAGTAAGTCCAAACTTCCTATTGTCGACCTTCCAGTGATGAAAGGTTGGGTTGGCTTTGGTGTAGACCAAGTCCTTTCTTACATAGCATTCCAATACCACCTGAAGGATTGAAACACACAGGCTGGTTACTTGTGAAACGGTCACGACAGTGTCTGTTTACAAAAATCTAATTAGGAACCATCCAACGTTGGTGGCGACTATGAAAACTCTTTACCCTTGCCTTCATGTGGTTATGAGTCTCCATCTTGAAAGGCTTTTGCTTGTCTCTGTGGACCATCCATCCTTTGTTGACCTTTTCACCCTACCCCCTTTTGTCCGTGGTGATCCCCACTGCACTGTGGTATTCCTTAACTACAGTTAACCACTCATTCCTATTCCTCTCCCCCTGACTGGGGGCCACCAAGCTGTGGTCCAGGTCTTGGGGCTTTGCTCTATTCCAGGTTTACTATCAGGGACTTTGTACTAGTGGCTTTCAATCTTCCCTCCTCTGTCCTAATGGGTGTTTCCCGGTGAGATCAAATTCAATATGCTGAAAAATTAACCCGCTCTGAAATTTCGGCCATTAGTTTCCTCTCCCAGCTTCCCCATATCTAGCAAAGCCAGCCTCTCTCTCTTCATTCTCTCTGGCTCAAAACCTCCGTGGCAATCTTTGCCTCTTCTGCTTTCTCTATCCCCTGTATTATTAATCACCATGTCCATTTCATTTTTCCTTCAACATCTTTTATATCAACCCATTTTAGTTGCTACTACTCTGATCTGGGTCTCTATTAATTTTTTTTCTGGATTATTAGAACGATCTCCCAAGTTTCTAGCAATCCAGTCTCAGAGCTGCCTTTGACTAAGTTACAACTTTGAGTAGACTGTCTCAGACCCTCAGTCTTTTTACCTATAAAATGGAAATAACACCAGTGACCAGCGTTATCAATGAGAACGTATACATGAACACGCTCTGAAAACAATGAATAATGAGAAACTGAACAGGGTCACACTCATTTTCTAGTATATTTGCTCTTTTATTTACTCTAATTCTTGTCACCTTCACAATTTAGTACTAGATTTCATATTATTGTCTAACATTTTATGTGCATTTATTTTATTCCCAATTAGACTGTGAAAGATCAATATGTATTATAAAATAACTCCCTCCGTGTCTAGCATAGTGCTATTGTTGATAAAGATATCAGAGTTTAATATTACAGCATAAAAGCAATGTAATCATATGAAAGTAAATTCCATTCTTCACAAGGAACCCTAAAATATCGACAATATTTATTCCTATGGGCTTCAATATGCATACCAGAATAATTTTGCTAAGTGTTAATAGCTTTGATTTTGTTCTGGTAAAGCTCTGCATTTAACAAAATGAAATCTTATTAATTTTAGATTAAGTGAAAGGTAAGAGTAAAAAAGGCCTGCCTAAATTAGTATAAATTCAAATTAGAGAATATCTTTAAATGAGTACAGGTTTCAAGGATACATCTAAGCAAACAGAAATTAAGTGCTGCCTACTAAATGTCCCCTAACTTATAAACAGATGAGAATAAAAGTCAAATTGGTATATCAAGTAGCAGTCCCAAGCAGTTAACTTTATTACATTGTATTGAAAGAGGACAACAGTCCCCTCATACAGTTCTATTTATGATTAAATTGCTTATTATGGCCATTTTCTCCTAAGAATAGTACAATGATTAAATGTCAGCCCAGCCCCATTCCAAATCGGGGAAATCCAAATAACCAAGGCTTTAACTAACAAATGTTATCTATTTTAGAATTTAATAGTCTCAATTCGAAGTCTCAAAATAAACTTTTTGTGAAAACAAAGACTTCCAGTTTCTCCATATTTTAGGGTGAAAAAAATTGGTCTTTGGTTGTCATTTTTCAAGTTTAAGATTATTCCAAAGGTACATTTCCTTAGAAGTTTAAATTTTTAGAAAAGTTCAGACATATAAATTGATGGGGAGGGAATCAGATACCATCTCTACGTCCTCTTCAATAAAATAATATCTTTATATATCTAAGTTTAACGACAAAAATGAAAAGGTTCCTAACAAGTATAAACTCTCTAGTGAAGTTTGGCATAACATGTATAAACCCCTCTAATGAAGTTTAGGCATTAACTTAAAACTTGAGAAAGCCTTTTAAAAATATCTTTTTAAAATAAGATGCACTGGTAGAAAAAAGTAATCATATATTCTTGTTGAAGGCTTTTATACACAGAAGAAATAGAAGTAGTAAAAGATTTAAGTAATTTAGTTGAATACACGAAGTCTTCATTCTTACCTATCTCTCCCTCCTTGCCCTCAACACCTCTCCACTTTCAGAGTTACCCACTGGTGGACACAATTCAGGTTCCCTGCCTGTGGCTTGAGTATATAAGTTGTGTGTGAGGGAGTAATTTATAGCCACACCTATAAGTTACTCTGCGACTTGCCTTTTATTTTCCTTAAAAACATGTCTTAGAAATACAGGAAGGTAAAAGAGCTCTCTTTAATGGCTTCATGATATTCCTCACTATAAATGTATTAGAATTATTCAGCCATTCTCCATACTAATGGGCATTTTTAGGTTATTTCTAATTGGTCACTTTTATAGACAATGTTGGAATGAATAGCCTTATACATGTCTTCAAAACTGGTCTGTGGGCTCTTGGGAGCCTTCCCTCTTCACTCCATCGCCCCAGGCCCTTTCAGGGGGTCAAGGATGGCCAAAAAGGAACGAACAGTGGGTAAAATTGATCTGCTGTGGCACGAATCAAGGCAGTGCAGTGGCACAAAACTGTGCTAAAGTCACTGGACTCGTGTCACATGGTCAAAGTAAAAAGTGCCAGTTTTATGTAAAATTGTCCTTGATGAAGCAGTTAAATTTAAATCTTGACCCTTGAATACACATCTCTTATTTTGTGTGATGAAATGGGAAGTACATATAACTGGATTCTCATCTCTGCTTTTGCATTCAAGCTGCTATGATATCTTACTTTGGATGAAGTATATGAAGAAACTCTGGCTTTGCACAAATGCATAGCTGGAAAAAGGAAGAGGATTTCTAATAGCTTTTTCACTTCTGCATACAGCTTCTGCATACAGAAGAATGACGACTGTCTCAAGGAAAGGCACTTGTGCAATTGTTTCAGCTGTGAGTTGAAGTACCTGCTTTTCTCATGGATCATCAGGTTTACTTGAAAGTACCACTGACAGATGTACTATGGTTATTAAGACTTGTATATCTGGCAGACATTTTCTTGAATACAAATACAGTAAGCCTGTCATTTTAAGAAAAACTGGAGGTATTTGTTGCTAATAATAAAACTGGAACTTTCAAGTGAAAGTTAGAACTGTGGACAGCTTCCCAATACTGAAAGACTTTTCTAATGAGATTAGTGGTGATATTAAGAAATGTGACTTTTTTTTCTACTACATAGTTAAATGTATCAATATTTGGAAGGTATGCTTAACTCAGTAAACCATTATTTGGTCAAGTGACCAATACATTATGTTACAAAATTAGGAATTTTGTAAAGTAATAATTTACAAAATCAGCAGAAACTTTGAAGTGACAGATAAACTATCAGTGGATCTTAATGTAATAGACTATGAAAAATTCATTGATATGGCTTCAGATTCCACACTTACGAAACTACTACAAGCCAAGTTTTGGTATAGTATCAAAGAAATATATCTACAATGATCTGAAAAGGCTATTAAAATACTTCTCCCTTTTCCAACTACATATGTGTGTAAGACTGGACTTTCTTCATATACTTCAACCAAAATGACATATTTCCCTAGATTGAAAGTGGGAGTAGACATCAGAATCCAGCTATTTTCTATTAAGCCAGATATTAATGAGATTTTCAAAACAAGTAAATCAATGCTACTTACTTCACTATTTTCATTCTGGAAAATAGTTATATAGTTATTTATCATAAAGAATGTCATTGATGCTAACACTATTATTTAAGATTTTTAAATTTCAGTTTTAATTTAGAATATAGTAAATATTAGTAGCTCTAATCCATAAAGACAAAAGCTTTTTGGGGTCCTCATTACATTTTTAGAGTATAAAGGGATCCTCATATCAAAAATGTTTGAGAACCACAGTTGTCCATAAATCTGTGTGTACTTCTATAGAATAGGGTTTAGATGCAGAACTGCCAGGTAAAATGGTATGTACATTTAAAAGCAATATCATGCCAAACTGCCTTTCAGAGAGCTTTGCCAGCTGGAACTCCCACCAAGTGTGTGTGCGTGTGCTCACAGATTCGTACACGGCAACGACTAGAATGATCGACCTTCTAGATTTTGTGGTTAATATTCATCAGGTGGTTTCTGATAGCATTTGTTTCAGGAGTAAACTCCTCTAACCCATCTAAAATAAGACTGAACTCAAAAATTTTAAATTTACATATAATTGCTCAGGAAAACTTGATTGTCCCCAATTTACAAAAAATCATCCAAATAATGACTTGTGAATGGATGTCTGGAATACAGCCTTTCTCATAGAAACAATGGAGTTATGTGCACAGACTTCAACACATAATTCATCTAACAACAACAAAAACTAATGTGCTGAAATCTAGAACTGTTCTATATTGGAAAAACTACTGACAACATGGTTTCCATCAGAAAAAGCATTTCATGTCTTAGTTGGAACACTGGGAACTCTGATACCATCCAACTACTGTATTCCAAAAACGATCTCCACTCTTTCTTCACAATTCCACCATTTAGAGGGGGGCTCCTTCAACAACCAGGCCTTTACAGAGCTCCCATGTGGGCTCATACTCTCCAACAGATTGAACTGCGGCATTATTGAAGCCTGGGAGGCCAAAATGAATCACCTCAGCTCCAGAATGAGTGAGTGAGTGAGTGTGTGTGTGCGCGCGCGCACGCGCGTGCACGTTGCGAAAGGGTGGAGAGAGAGGTTTAACTACCACTAAATATAGGAATCCAGAATGTTCCAGTGTGTGACACGCTGAGGGATGGAAAGATGGAGAAACACAACTGGATGTATGGGTGTGTGATTTAAGTACTAGTGATGTAAAAGTCCAGAAGTGCAGAGTCACAGAATGCAAAGGGGTCAGGAAGAGGGATGGACTGATGGAGAAATGTGATGGGGGAGAGGGTGTGGTACACAATCCTTTTGCAATAGCAACAAACAATAGACGCTGGTCCACAACTAGGACTGCCCTGTTACTATGCAGCGTTAATATGAAGGGACCAGGTTCTGGCTTCACAGTGAAATAGTTCCCAATGTTGGCTCTACTAAGAATGTGTGCTCTAGACAGAGGAAATGAGTGGATCACTGAGCATTAAGTTTCTCCACTATAGATTGGAGATAAAATAGCATCTTCCTTCCTAAATTGCAAGAATTTAACCGAGGTTATTTACATAAAGGGCCTTGAACAAAATGGTAAAAATGTACAATTATTTTATACAACTCAGTGGTAATATACAAATTTATAAATGTATTTATAAAATGAAGGAGCTGGATGAAACAATCTAAAGGCCGTTTTAGGTTGACATATTCTATGACAAACCATAGAAATACCAGGAAAAAACAGATCTAAAAAGATATAACCATTCAGGTAAGATAATTTGGTAAAACAAAAGTAATAAAAAGGGAAAAAGGCAAAATACTTTTCTTTCAATTTTTTTTTGTAGAAAAAGAACACCAACTAAAATTAAAAAGGCAAGCAACAGGTTATAAAAATATTTGCGGCAAATGACAGATGTAGGTTAATATCCTTGTTATACAAGAACATACATATGAAGGAGAAAAATAAGGCCCCAATAGGTAAATATGCAAAGGCACATTAACAGATAATTTAGCTATCACTGTTTACCAAACGGAAAAACATTTGATCTTAGTAATCAACATTAAGATACCACTGGTACTCTATCAAACTGGTAAAGATGTAGAATAATTGACCCTCGTTGTGTTAAAAGAAATTCTCATATATGCTGGTAGCAGCTCTTTGTACAAGCATCAAGAGTCATAAAAACAATGGAACATCAACTTGATACCAGCAACATGAGAAATTTCTCATGAGAATGTGGGGCAAAATAAACGAGATACAAAATTATTTATGAGCTCTGATTATAGTCATGTAAAAATAAAACTATGGTGACAGAAAGAAATCTAACTATAGGCGGTAAGCACACAATGCAATGTGTATGTAGGTAGTAAGCACACAATGCAATGTGTATGTATGTGTGTGTGTATGTATGTATATATATATACACACACACACCTTACTGTTGAATTGTACACCTGAAACTTACTGGATTTTGTTAACCAATGTCACCATAATAAAAAAAAATTAAAATAAAAATATGCACGAAGGGAAAAAACTACATAAAAGAGCTAAAGGTGGTTGTGCATATGTGACTTTGGCTCAGTTTTGGGATCAAAGTGACAGGATATCAAATATTGGTTTCAGACTCCCAAGATCGGTCACCAAGAACAAGGAGTCTTTCTGAATCTTAATTTCTTCACATATAATTAATTATACAGGCTGCTGTAAGGATACAATGATACAACCTAACTAAAGGGCTAGCACAGAGTAAATGCTAGATAAATGGTGGTTGTTATTTTACTTTTTGTTGGTAAAATAACTACCACCATTGCCTTTATTGTGAATATCTTATAAACTGGAATGTTTTAATTATTTGATCATTATGTAGGGAATTTCCTGAATAGACATACTTCTTAAAATGAGTTATATTCACCCTTTAAATTTTCACTCATTTAATTTTCAGAAATGAATCAAATATGAAAATAGCATTTCTGTAAATCCGCATATAACATTTATAAACTGTTCTATTTTGCAAATTTTAAAAACAATAAGTGATTACAAGAGAAAATTAAATTTGTACACTTAGCACATAAAACTCAACAGATGCCACCATATTAAGGGTCTCAAACCTAACATTGACATAGTTCTGTAGTGTCTTTATATTTTCTCTGTTGAGGTCCTATATAATCTTGAAATTTTAAACCATCTAATGGCTTTCTAGTATATATTCCATGATCAAATAAAGATAGGAGCAATGTCCTTCTAGGTTCAAGGCCACCAATTAAAAGTAGATTTAAACATTCAATCTTCCTTCATTTCATGGATTCCTTCATAACATAGAACTGGACATCCAAGTTCTTTCATGCAACTGTTTGGACTTATCCAAGCCCAATCCCTGTGAGATCATGATTACTCTCCAAAGTGCATATATTTTTTTCCAAAGTGTATATATTTAAGCATATAAAATTATTAAAGTGTAATATCGCTATTTTTTGTTCCTTTCTTTTTCCAAACATATTTTATTCATAGCTTTTGAAATAAAAGCTGGTGTCTTTTAGATAAACATTCATTTAGAAGTAACCAAATGTCAGATGACCCTTTCTTTGCATTTTATCTTTCACCAGCCAAACCTTGATGGCATGCTCCATGAATAAACCCTGCATTTTAAAAAACTCTGACTTCACAGATCACTACGATCTGATTCATAAGAACATACTTTTGTTTTGAATTTCTTGTTACGGTGACAGAAAGATAGCTTAATTAATCAAAGATGCAAACAAGATAGCCAAATATATGATTTCTTAGCATCAGAGTTACATGGTGTGTGGTAAAAAGTGATTTTGCTGGAAAGCCAGGGTTACATTTTGCAATTTGGTACCAGCTCCAGAGTTATAACTTTTGAAGCCAGAGAAAGAAGGAAAAAATAACCTACAGGAAGAAGGCTACAACTTAATTTAAAGAAATCAGTTGTTGCTGATTTAACATTCCACGTCTGCCATTACCAGTTTGTCTTTCTGTCGTTCCCCATGGATGAGAAAGCCGCTTCGTCCATTGCCTTCGGGGTGCATGACCTTACAGACCCCCACGCGACTGATCCCGCCTCCTTCCTGTGGGAACCAGCCCCCGCTGGAGTCATCTCTGGTCATAACCACAGCCTTGACACGCACAATATAGCTGTCACTAAAACGACAACAACAAGAACAATGGGGCATGACAACAGTCTGGTAGCTGCATGACATGTTGTTTCACAATGCAAGATGACCACCAGCCAGTATTTTCTGGACTTGTCAAAAGAAAATCTATGCCTGGCAGCAATCTGAAAAGGTAACTAACCCATCTCAACTTTTAGGGAAAAAGCAGATAAAACATTCTCCAATTTCTAGGTGGTATTAATAAAACGAATGAGCTGATCTCTATGGTTTGGTATCTATGAGTTAGGAAAGACAAATCTAGTAACTTAAGAGGATATTATAGTTTCAATCCTTTAAACTTAGTTTACAGTGAATAAGCAAGGTTTAACATTTTATAAAGCTAATAATCTTCTGATCTGGCATAAGAACAGGAAAATCCACTTTCAAATTACAAGTTCACCATAATTTCATTGACATAGGTGAGAAAATATTTCAATTCAAATACCCTTTACACATGTGTAGCCTTCTGTTTATGATTTTATTTTTTCCAGTCTAAACTTTAATTTCACAATAAGTTCTTTTGCACATTTGCCAACCACCCTCTTTCTCCTCCAGAGACCAACTCTTGCTTCTTTTCATTCTTCATCACTTTGCGGGAAATTTACTTGGATTTTCAGCAAGGCCATTAAATTCTCACTTGCTGTTCTCTATCTTTGGATAAAATTTATTGTTTACTCATTCAAACAAATATTCCTGTCTTCTATATGTCAGACACTGTGCCAGATTCCAGGGAAACAAAGATGAAAAGTAACATAGAACTCTCTTTCCGTCCCCTAGGCCCCGCACTCAGAGCCTGGCCACGCAGTCTGCTGGAGATCATTTAGACAGTCCCTCTGCCCCGCTCACCCCGAAAGGCAAAGCCACCTGGGTTTTCCAGGCCTCCCTGTAGCTCGCCCTCTACTGTGGCCCAATACCCCTCGTCCTGTGCTCCCGAGACTCAAGGTCCGACATCCCCCTTACTTCCTCATCCCTTCCTCAGACTTTTCCTTTCACTTATCATTATGGTAAAATACACATAATGTAAAATTTACCATTTTAGCCATTTTAAGTGTACGATTCTATGGCATTAAGTACATTTACACTGTTCTACAATCATCCTTGCCATCCATTTCCAGAACTTTTTTCATTTTCCACACTGAAACTCCATTAAACACTCACTCTCCATTCTCCCCTCTCCCCAGCCCCTGGCAACCACCATCCTACTTTGTCTCTTATGGATCTGACTATTCCAGATTCTTTCACTTTCTTAACCTCAATGCAGATGTGCTCTGGGCTGAGCCTCTGCGGCCCTCACACATGGGGCTGCTTTCTTCCTCTTACACCTCTCCCCGCTGAGCCTAGATGTGGGGTAGGGTATTCACCTTCGCTGCAGGCTACTGGCCCTTTCCCCAGTTCCTCTGAAACTCACAAGTCTGACCATGCCCCACTACCTTTCTTCAATCTTCCACAGACCTTTGGGTCACCCCTCCTCATTCCTTGAGGACATTAGCACGTGGGCTCACAGGCCCTCCATCTCTCCACCATGATCACTGTTATATGGGGTTTTTTTTTTTTTTGGTAATTTCATTATCTACACAGAGGATCCTTCCAAGTCAATTCTTTGGCCTCTCAGTTTCCGGAACTCTTCTCCTCCAATGCCTCTGTCTTATATCCAGTTTCAGCCACCCATGCCTAGGTTACGACCTTGACCTTGTCATTACCAGCACATGTAAAACCTTCATAATTTTAAGTATCCAGCTCTCTAGGCACCACCTCCCGACTGTGCAACTCTCTCCAGACTCCAGTAAGTCTTCACCCCAATGGGGCCAACAATCTGGTGTTATGACCACCTTTCCCCTGCCTATTCTCTACACCCATCATGTTCTCACTTGATTCTCTACCCAACTTATGTTTCGTGGTCTATCACAACACTCATTTGTACAAAACTTTAACATGTTTGTTCCTCATTGTAATTGGCAAGACCTCAACTCTGGTGAAACCCTACCTTCTACTTAATATTTAACTCCATGCTCCCAACTCAGGCTGTTGTTGAGAGGAAACAACCTCAGTCTATTTTGCTTATAGGTCTAGTTTTAAGTCATAAACACTCACCTCAATGCGTCCTTAAATGCCACTCAGTATCCTGCTACATTTCCCCAAGATTATTTTATATGTCCTTCTACCCCCTCCCTCTCAGGTGTTGGATGAGTTAGCTTTCATTTCACTGAGCAAATAGACACAATTGGAAGAGACCTTGTTCTTGTGCCCACCAGCACGCCTACTGCTCTGTACCAGTACTCTCTGCCTCTCCTTTTGTAACTGGGGATAAACCATCCATGATCCAAGCCAGGGCCAACAACTTAAATACTCTCTATGTACTAACAACGCTCAGTTCACATTTCTACCAGACCGCTTCCCTAAGCTTCAGATCAGTAAAATCAACTGCCTATGTGATTTCTCTGCTTGGGTGTCTAGTAGACACCTCAATCAGGTTGAACTCTTGATTCCCAGCATCTTTCTATCCTACTGGTTCTCTCTTCGAAACATATCCAGAAATCCATTTTTACTACCAGAATTGACACTGCCCTGATCCCATCACCTCTCAGACTATTCCAACAGCCTCGTAACTGGCCTCCTTACTTCCATGCTTGCCCAAATAAAACACTGGAAAGGTATTCAGGTTGTGACACTCTAACAAACCCTCCAACAGATTCCTTATATTGCTCTGAGTCAAAGTCAAAAAATAGCTATTGTCTTACCACTCTCCTCCTTGCTCATTCCACTTCAGTCCCCATGTCCTTGATGGCCCTCCACAGTAAGCATACTCCCACCTCAGGGCCTTTGCACATGCTATTTCTTTCACTTAAAACACCTTTTTCCCCACTCTTCTCCCCACATACCAACTAGGGTTATTCCCTTATTTCATTCAGGTCTCTGCCCAAGACTTCTCTGACCACCCCTCTTAAATCTTCTTGCCCTTTGTCTTTCCACATACTACTGAATCAATATCTGCTTTATCTGTTTGCCCACTTTCCCCAACTAGAATGTAAACTCCATGAGAGCAGGGACTTTGCCCCTTTCATCATTGCTACATACACAGAGCATAGAGCTGTGTCTTAAACGCAGTAGGCTGCAAAGTGATTGGGTTAAATACACGATATTTGTAAACAGGTTTTAAAAAAATTATTTGTTGCTAATAGGATTCCTGAGAAAATATAAAGTGTTCAATATTCATTTGCTTATGAGCCACAATAGTTTAACTGAGATAGTGTGAAGATTTCCTTTTCATTAAACAAAAAAACTGAATTAAAAAAAATCACATGGTTTCTATCAATTATCCATTCATCTCAGAATTCAACATGCATATTCCTTTAGGTTATAGAGATTAAGAACATTTTCTAACATTTGTTTATATTAGTTACATAGAACCAACTTGAGAATATCCTTTTATCCTCCCATATCTTTTAGTCTAGAAAAACTAAGGGTCCTCAGGATATATAATTTTCCAGTATGAAACACAGCTTTTTCAAATCTTCTGTGAATGTACTATAGATTCATCCAAACAGGAAATGGCCAAGGTGAATAACTGAAACTCTACACACCTCTTGTTAAAACATGCTTTTACTTTTTTTGTTTTGCAGCTGTGTGCTGGTCTCCTTTCCTTTGAATGATTAAGTAAATATGAAAAAGGGAAGTTTGCATGACTTATGTTAGTGCCATCAACTTATTTCCAAAAAGTATTCATTTATTAGAGGCTTAAAAAAAAAAACCTGCTTGGCTTCCAGACTGCAGGGGCTATTATTCTGGCCTTTGCTGTCGATCTACAGCATCCTTTTTCCTGCCTTGATTCCTCCTCTGCCCCTTCCCAAGGGGTACGTGTGTTGGGGCTAGAGGGACAGAAACTCCGCCCCCACCCCCGCCATCTCCTCTGGCCACATCTCCAACAGCCAGAATTAACTGAGGCATCTGGCTATTTAAAACAAGGCAGGGGGATAAAGTGCTGCAGCAAAAGCTGCGAAGGATGTCTGGATAACCCAGCTGCATGGCTGCATGCCAGCTGCTTCCTATCTGTGCTGTATTTACGTTACTCAGGCATTTCGCCCCACCCAGAACAGAAACGACAATGAACTCTACTACCAAAAGGTACAAAGAAGGAAAACTCCCTTCCCACCTTTCCTCCTCTCTTTCTGGAAAGAATTAAACATGTTTAAACCAGATGTGGGGTTGGTTGGGGGGAGGGAGGCAAGGGTAGATTAGTTTTTTAATGTGCACCAGGAAAATGCTGCTGGTATGCTTTAGAGAATTCCCCAAAAATATTATTGCAAAAAATAACAACAAAAAGTACTTCTGAAAGTTTCAGCTGCAACCGGTATAACTGATTAGGACCTGGTCAATTTCCAGACTTGGGTCCAAACACCAACTGACTAGAACCCTAGTGTCTGAATTTGAGCTAACCTGTCCCAAAGAATCGATGTCATCACAAATGGTGTCTGACCACCGCCACTCGAATGATGCCATCTTCTTTAGGTACATTCTGGCTAAACCTGACTCTTACAAATTGGGCTGGGGATATGCCATTTAAACGAGGTTTCTTTAAGGAGAAGCTTTGTGTTCCCAATATGTGGCTTTAATTGTTAAAAACGGGACTTGCTGTGCTGTGATGGTTTGCCACACAGAAAGGGTAGGTAACATTCGAGGGCAGGACGGGGAGGCAGAGAAAGAACAATTTCAAAGCTAGATTTTCATTGCATGGGAGACACTGATTCCACGGTGGCACAGAAAGGTTTGGACCTCAGGCCTTAATGTCCTAAGTTCTCTCCAGATTCAAAGGAGGCCCTGTCTGGGACACGTTACAGAAGTAAACAAAGGAATTGGAGGAAATGGTGCTGTGGCAGCACTGTTTCTATAAATAATATTCAGGGCCAGGGACAGGTCAGCAGTGCCTTGACCTCCTCACTAGCTGAAGAAGCCTCTTTTTGAGCTTCAGTTTCCTCATTTGCAAAACAAACA